TTTGCAATATAATAAAACAAAATCACTCTACTGCGCAGCAAATAAATAATGTTAACTCTACTGCGCAAGCGCACCGCTCTGCTTATGTAACATWTTTGTGTGTAGCGTTTAAATACACTTGCGCTAATATGAAAGCATACTTAGATTTATATTATATAAAAGCACCACATAAATTAATGCTGTATCTGTATGTATGTAAATATTTAAACTACAAGTTATGTAAGTTTTTATGTATGTGTGTCTGTAAGCCCTTTATTATTTTTAACTCTTTTCGTAAAACTTTACTGAATTATTAAGCAAAAACACATGGAATAGCAATGAAATTACCCGAAAACAAAAAAAAATAAAAATAAATAAATAAATGGAACTATATAAATTAATAATTTATTTAGCATGTTTGCCAACTATAGAGAGAAACAAGGAAACAGATTTAGAGAATAAAGAAAAAAAAAGAAATAAATAAAATGAAACTTTTATTGCAAAACCTACCACTTTAAATATGTTYGTTTTATTTTACCTGTGTGAGAATATATTAATAGCAAAAACATGCAGTTTTTAGTTTATCGACGGGGCTCACAGATTAACTTACTACATATAATCCCACGAGTTAGTTTTTGAGATATCGAAATGAAATTTTACAAACGACGTTTTCTCACCAAGAAGCTGATCATTTATCGAAACGGATATATCGGACCACAGTAGCACATAGCTGCCAAACGAACTAAAGGATCAAAATAAAATGACTCCTTCAAAAGGTAGGCATCACTATAACACCGAACCTCTTTTTAGATCGTATGTATTATATAGCTGCCAAACAAAGTTTTGTGTTTGTAATGCACTGATGCAACTGAAGTTAACATTTTTTCTTCTTTTTTMAAAAAATATATTTTTTTGTATTTTATATTAAAAGCAGATTATTATTGCAAAACGAAAAACAGAAAAAAATGGGATATATTTTATAACTTTACTTCAAAGATTTTTCTGAACAAAATGCAGAATATTTAAGCCTATCCGTAGACGTTCAACCTCGCTATGAACTTCTAACTGTGTTTTGGGTTTTCGCCTTCTATTTTCTGAATTGAAGGCATATAATTTATACTAA